AGAGTGGGTCTCCCTCCCTGTACCCGCCCGCTCGAGTTCTAGCTACCTGCGTCTCTCCTTCGCTCCAGAGGAAAAGGGGGGCGGGCGGGCGACCAGTGTCGCGCGCGGGGAAGAACCCAAACTATCCTCCGGGGCATACAGGCCGCCCACCCAGGGCTCTGCCTAATACGCCGGGGACTCACTTTCCCCTGCCGTCTACCTCGATTACAAAGTTGACCCCCGACAAAAACTAACGAAAGCGGGCGCCGAACACTGTGTATTGCCGAGAAGGGCGGAGGGAAAGGGGTGGGCGCTTGGAAATAAGGGGCGGTGATCGTGCACCAAGTTCCGCCCCCTCCAATTCAAACCCCCAGTTTGAAGCATCGCGAGGATTGCAGCGCAAGAAGGGGTTTCGCGCGCGTGCGCAGTAGGAATGTCTCCGCGTCGGCGCTGGTAGTGTGCGCTTGGCCAGCCAAGTAGCCCAAGAGGCGCGGGGAGTTCAGGCTGCGGGGGTGGAATGTTGGGGGAGGGGGTGGAGTTCTCCGGGTGTCTGGGCTAGACTGCAAGGTCCGCTCCTGCTTTGGTAACTGGTGCAAATATTGGAGCAAAGGGTAGGAATAAATGGTCCGTTTCCAGATAGGGGGAGGTGACTACTGCTGTCCCTCGGGTGTGTGCACTGGGACCAGTCCTGTTCAGCTGTTCATACGGGATCGGAAAATATGGATAAACTTGCAAAACTAATAAAGCTAGCTAAGTGGTCCCAAGCAGACTGCAAAGAGCTATAACAGGCTGTCAAAACTGGGTGACTCGGCAATAAAATGGCAAATTAAATTCAATAGTGTTAAATGCAAAGTAATGCACATTGGAAAATATAATCCCAACTGTACAGATGAAATGATGAGGTAGGAAATAAAAGCTATGGTACCTAGATGACTGTGTCCTATATTCAACTTAATAAATTTTAATTATAAAGTTTATTAGGCTCCAGCCCATAATATCCTCCCTCCATCCTTCAGTGAGTTTTGTGAAGACAGATCTCAGCATCCACATTCAGCATCATTTTGGTCAAAGAGTAGTCTGGATTTGGGAGTCCACCTGCATACAGTTCATTGCAGGATTAGGACCTTTCAATAGGTAATTTCAAAAATAAAAAACTTTGTAAAAAATTCACAAACCAAATTGCATTAAGGAAATAGATCATAACAAAAAGTAGCGTAATCAAAGAATTTCACATAGCAATATCCATCCTTTTATAGGAAGAACTGAGTGTCACCGAACATATATCTTTTGCTTGCATTTGAATGCAAAGTACAATCTCAAATATAGAATTAAGAATTAAAGTGAATTATACTATGTCATCTTTGTATTGCATTTAAAATTTGTTTAAAAAATCCCTTTTTAAACAGTTTACAATGACATTGCTTTCCACACACAGATTTTGCCAAAGGTATAAAACTAGAAATCCTTTTACAGCTCAACAATTATAGCAATCAGCATTAAAGATGAAGAATAATAGTTTGGTTGTAATGAGCTATATTACCAAATGGAAAGAAAAGACTTAGGAGTGTTTTAAATACAGGGTATATAAGAAAATTCATGTTTTATCTTAAATTGTCATGTTCTTTGCTTTTTTATGTTCCTTGTCATACATCCTTAACTTTCTCTGTGGTGACTGCTAGTATGAACATAGTATGAATGCAGTAAGTACTGAGATTGAAGGGCCTTAAGACCACATTAACATGCAAGGAGACAAGGATGACAGGTTGCCACTGCTCACTGAAAGTAGAACGAATGAAATATCTCTGTCATGGAATGATTAAGCAAGTCATATGTGTCTTACAGTTTGACAGAAAGAAGCATAGCTCTCTTACACTGCAAGCATGTCCATGGGAAAAACAACTATGGGGATAGTTGGAATTTATGGAAAACATGGTTATGGTTAATGATTCATATTTCTAATCTGCTGTTCAATTATTAAAAGATTTGGTTGATTGGTTGTAGAATAATCCAAAAAAGTTAGAAATGATTTACTAAAGCAAACATTAGATGATTAGATTTACTTACTGACATTCCTATCAAAATAGTGTGACTATCCAGATACATGGCACTTTTGAAAGGTGCCAGTGTGAACACTGTGGAATTGCAGTCCTTTATTTATGAACCATGACAGTGCCTTTCCTACCACCAACCCCTCTTCCTGCCTTCCCCACATCATTTTCCTTCCAACCCAACTAGAAGAGACCAACTAGTGTAAAGTATTATACTCTGATGAATCACTCAATTGGCATGCCAGCTGTAATTATATTGGAGAGCTGAACATCTGCCCGTTAGGTACAGGCAGTCCCCGACTTACGCGGATCCGACTTATGTCGGATCCGCACTTACGAACGGGGCTTTCTCGCCCCGGAACTCGCAGGCAGCGGTCCCGCCACCTCGACATCCGGGGCGAGAAAAGCTGCTCCCAGTACCCCTGGTCTGCTGGGGACGGTCTCCAGCAGACATGGGGCACCGGGAGCAAAGCCGCAGCCGCGGCGGGTTCCCGCGCTTCTGAGGCTTTGCTCTGGAGCTTTGGTCGTAAATGCAAATGGTCGTAACTCGACCGTTCACAACTCGGGGACCGGCTGTATTGCCTTTTATGCCTTCAAACATGTTGGCTGTGTCTAGACTGGCATGATTTTCCGTAAATTCTTTTAACGGAAAAGTTTTTCCATTAAAATATTTCCGCAAAAGCGCGTCTACATTGGCAAGGATGCTTTTGCGCAAAAAGTGCTTTTGCGCAAAAGCATCCGTGACCAGTCTAGATACGATTTTGCTCAAGAAAGCCCCAATTGCCATTTTAGCAAAAGCGACTGCTTTTGTGCAAAATCTTTCCAGTCTAGACGCACGTCTAGACGCACCCATTCTGTATACAGAATTCTAACTAGTGCAGGAGACAGAGCAGGAACTGACAAGTGCTTTGATAATAGCTATAGAACACCATCTAAAATATAATCAACTGCCATCCTCAAAGCTGAAAGACAATGAAATACTGCTACCCTAAGCACAGGTGTACATTTAATTAAGCAGTTCTGTTTAATTTCTTTGAAATGGGTTCATAATAAAGCTCATTACTTTAAAGTTCGTGCACCATTTCCTTGTGTATTACACAAAGCCGATCATACTTTATTGCTTCCTCAGCATCTTGACAAAAAAGCATACGAGGTTGTTTAGATATTTGAGCTACTCATCAATAGAATATGGTTGCCTACTTTCTGGTTGGTGAGAAAAAATTATTGACAAGAAACATTCTGTGATCTATTTGCCTTGTCTTTACTATTAAGATCTCTAATGTTGCCTCTAGCAGCAATATTTTATTGAATTATTCATTGGACAGCCTTTGCTTTCGTTCTTACAGCCATCGGGAAAGAAAGAGAAAGGATTTGGCATGAATAAATGTGAATATTAAAAAATAACCCTCTATACATAACACTGCTCATCACTTATAATGTAGTACTCAGTGTCCAAAAAGCAACATATCCTGAACTCTAAGCTGTAGCATCCCTTCTTGTCACTCATGAGCTCACTTAAAAAGAGCTATTCCCATTCATGCCAAATTCTGCAATGATTTTATAAGTATCCCAACTTTTGTGAATAGTAGCAGTTATAGAGCTTCTCAAGAGCAAGGGTGCTGTGTTAACTCTACTCTTCTATTGAATGTTTGTTTAGAAAGGCAGAAAGCCAAACACCTGTTCTACCTATTACTGCCATTATGGTTATCTGGGACATCTATACATAGCTAGCACTTCAGCTGAGACTGTTAGTCTGTTAAAAGAACTGGGTACATCATGTTGTGAATTCCCTCACAGACAAGTCAGTGAAAACAGGATTCAGTCCCAAAACTAAGAGCTCTTTTCCTGTACCTCCAGCAGAACTGAAGTGATGTAATTGGAATAACTCTGTTTTTTCTTCTTGCTGTCACACCCAAACAGAATAACCATAATAAATAACCTTCCTGAGAATGATTAACAAACCGCTGACCTAATATCTCTCTGACACAGTGGATTAACAAAAAATTAGAAAAGGTATGAAATAATACAAAGTACCAACAAAACACTTGAGTAAGGCGCAAAGCTGCCATGTGCTTTTAAATGATATCTTGGAGCAGGGAGTGGTGTAACATGATATCTTGTACCAGTGGTAACTCATATGGTATCTGATCACAGGTCAGAAATGTTGCAATTTAAAAATAGTCCCATCTTCTTTTCTCTTCAGTAATAGAAATATATGGCAGTGTAGGCCAGACTGGAAAGAATAACCAAATGACCCTTAGTGCTGCTGCAGGATATGTCTTGCCACTTTTGGGGAGCTATAGCATACCCTACCACATACAACAAAAAGAAATTAGAGCTCAGATAACCAGCTGGCGAAATGGGAGAGGACGCAAAGGTGAATTTGTCAACACAGAATCCAACAGGGTCTGTTCTAGTAGCTAGAAGAGATGCTGCAATG